CGGCCGCGGGGTCTCGCGCTCATGCAGCTGCGGGCTCTCGCGGGGCCGCGCCGGGAGGCCCGCGGAGCCCGGGCTCCGGTCGGGGGGCTCCAGCAGGCTCTCCGAGTTCTCCAGGATCTCCTGCAGCAGCCGGCGCTTCTGATACTCCGGACCTGCCAGGGACAACACGGGGGAGGCTGGATTTGAACCCCGGTCCCGCCACTGGGGGATCCTGGGCAAGCCACTTAACCTCGCTGAGTCTCATTTATTTACTCAGCCAGCACTCACCTACCATCTCCCACGTGCCAAGCACTAGTGTAAGCAATTTCCAGATATTAACTCACTTAATCATTTTAATAACCCTATGAGGTCGATGCTGTTATTTAACCTCCATTTTACAGATGAAGAAAGGGAGGTTCAGAGAGGTGAAATCACTTGTCCAAATCACCCAGCTGACAAAGTGCAGAGCCAGGACCAGCCCCCAGGCAGCCTGGCTCCACAGTTTCTGCTCTTAACGGTGACACTGGTCTCTTTCCGTTCCCTTGTCTGAAAAATGGGCCTAATCATACTTATTTCATAAATGCTAACAGAAGGACTAATTGGGTGGGAAAAAAATGCATGTAAAATGCTGAGCTCAGTGCCTGGCACATAGTGATAGCTGTTGCTACAACCACCCAAGGCAGAGGCAGACACCCGTGTCGCTCTTCCTGGGACCAGCAGGGGGCGCGCTGCAACAGGAAGCGACTTATCCTCCCAGGCACAGCTCTGCGCTCCAAGGTCTTCCATCTAGTCTCCCTTTGATCTCCGTGCTGCAGCCAGAATAATGCTTAGAAAATACAGATCTAATCGTGCCATTCACCTTAAAACCCTTTAATGTAGAGAACACCCATCTCCCACCCTGAGAGCTCCCACCTCTATCCCAGTGCAAAGTCTCCATTAGAGCCGGGAAGCCCTCCTTACTCTGCAGCCTCATTTCCCAGAGAAAAGAGACCCTGGAGTGGGGCCAGTCCACTGGGCGCCTGTGATACCCCCGCCACAATCTCAGCATAAGTCCCATTGTGTCATCCCATCCCATGCTTGCACCATGCCCCACAGTTTCTAGAACTCACAGGCATTCCTGAACCTGCTTGGGCATCTCAGCTTTCCAACAAACAAAGCTTTCCATCTCACCCCCAGCAACCTCTCCTACCCTGTCCTGCCCATCCCCTCCCTGGCTGGCCCTACCTGGCTGGTAGAAGTCCGGAGCCAGCTCCCTGGCCAAAGTGCGAGCAATGTTGGACTCTTGGTTGGCAGCCACAGCAGCCTGTTCCGCTGCCTCTGCTTTGGCCCTGGCGTGGCTTGTCCTAAGGAGACAACATGGCGGAGATTCACGATCCCTCCAGAGAACCAGCCCTCTGCCCTTCCTCCCCAACCCACAAAGAGAAACCCTGGACAGAGTATTCATTCACGCATGGTGTCAATGAATATTTATTGAGCCCTGTGGCCCAGACTGCTGTGCATTCCCCAGACCATATCTTCTTCTTTCTGGGCACACAGACAGACTACATTTCCCAGCCTCCCTTGCAGTTAGATGTGGTCAGGTGACTGAGTCCTGGCCAATGCATTGTGGGAAAACATGATGTATGCCATTTCCAGGCCTGGTCCATAAAAACCTCCCCTGCTATCCTCTACGTCCTCTCTTTTTCCCCTGTTGCTGGTGAAATGCAGAGGAGGCCAAGGCCCCTGAACAGGGTATTTAACATTTTTTGTGTCACAGACCCCTTTGGCATCTGGTGACGCCTATGAACCCCTTTGCAGAATAAGGTTTCAAAATGCATAAATTACATAAGACTATAAAGGGATGCAATTATATTGACACGCTGTTACCAAAATAAAGGAAAAAATTTGTAATATAATAATGTATGTCCTTTATTAACATATTAAAGAAAATAATAGAAGGTCTATTAACTACTATAATTTTAAAGTATAGATTAGTATAAAGGATATTTTGAGGACATTGCAACAATAGTAATGTGACGTGAAAATATCTGTGATTTCTATTGGTGACAACGTCATAGATACTGCTGATACTACTGTAGTTTATTGCCTGCTTCCATAATTGAAGAAAATGCTAAATTTCACTTAGAGGTTAAGTAAAAATAAAGATGCAGTTCTCCCATCTGTTGTAGACCCTGTGGGACCCTGCCCAGATCCCTTCACTGGGCAAATGCACCCACTCTCAGCTGCTGAGTTGACTGCTAATGGCTCACTGCTGTCCCAGAGAAGTGCAATCAAGAAGCCATCTTGTTCCAGAGGTCAAAACTCTCCACCTTCCCCCAACCAAGGAAGCCCAACCAATGACTAATGACACTGCCCAGCCCTCTCTTGCCCCAGAAGGAATCAACGCTGTCGTCCAAGCCAGGCTCCAGAGCCCTGTGGGATCAGGCTGAAGCAGGACTCCCGGTAAGACCACATCCTTGCTCAGCTACTTCCCCGCCCTGTTCTGCTTCTCTCACTCCCCTCTCTCCTGAGAGTGTTCCCTCAATAAACCATCGGCACAGAATCCCCATCTTACAGCTTCAAGGGAGTCTAACCTAAGACAGCATCCAAGTTCACAGACTCCCTGAATCATATCCACACAACCCGCTGTGGACTCCAGGTTAAGAAACACAGTGGAAGGAACCTGCGCCATAAATGACTATTGCGTGGAGCAAAGTCCCCCTCCCACAGTCCCACAGTGGAATGTGGAACATTCAAGCATTAAATTGAAACACTAACTGTGGAACATTTAAACAAGCCTTAAATGTTTCTTCCGTTAAGCACCTGAGATTTGGGGGATGTTTGTTTCAGCTGTTAGTCTAGCCTGACTAATAACACTAATACTAATAAATAAATACTAATAAATATTAATAACTACTAAAATAATCACAACCCCTTTACAAGTGGGCCAGGCACCGCTCTAAAGGAATTATGAAGATTAGCTCATGTAATCATCATGATGCCTTAGGAAGCGGGTGCTCTTATCATTTTCTCTATTTTACAGAAAAGGAAACTGAGGCACACACAGGTTAAATAACTTGCCCAAGGTCTCAGAGTCATTATATGCAGGAGCTGGGAATTTGAACCCAGGCCAGATGACTCCAGAGCCTGCGTGGCCAGGAGCTGAGGACAGAGATTCCTATGGATGAGACAAAGCTGGTCCCTGCCCTCACTGTCAAGCGAGGGGGATGGAAGCAAATAAACAACAAGTTATTTCATAAACCGTAATTAGATAAAAAAGATTTACTGCAATTGTGAGAGGTGTCATGAAGGAAGAGTATAGAATGCATTGAGCATGTAGAACAAGGAGACTGGATACAGACTGGCAGTGGAGGTAGGTGGTCAGGAAGATTTCCTTGAGGATGTGACATTCAGGTTGAGATGGAGAAATACATAAACTACGCCCATAGAGGTGAGGTGGGGACAGCAAGCCAGGTAGAGGGAAGAGCATGTGCAAAGGCCCTGGGGGGAGTAAGAGCTTGTGCCTCTAGGAAACTGAAAGGTCAAATCAGTGTCCACACGTGCAGATGAGTTAATTCCTCGGGGAGTTCTGTGTGTGTGTGTGTGTGTGTGTGTGTGTGTGTGTGTGTGTGTCTGTATCTCAGGCTCCAGCACAGAACTGAGCCCCGAATAGGGGAGTAAATTTTATTAAGCTCCTGCCCAATCCCAGGCCCTTTACCTGTGTTATCCCTTTCAATTCTCCAAACTGCCTGGGAGGTAGTTTTTACTGTCCCTACTTCACAGGTGGGGAAACTGAGTCTCAGACAAGTATCTTGGTCAAGGATGCAAGATAATGGTTAAGGCTTACAGAGCATTTACCACATGCCAAGGGCTTTTCAGAAATTCTCCTTTAATTCCCCCAATAACTCTACGTGGCAGATGTTATTACCATCGTCCCTCTTTACAGAGGAGAAATCCAGGCCACAGGAAGGTTCTGAGGAACTCACCCAAACTTACACAGCCGGCAGGTGACAGAGCGAGATTTCAAACCAAGGCATTCTGGGACCTGGAGTCTGTGCCCTTAGCCCCAGGCTACACTTTCACTCATTAACAAGTAGTGGAGTTCAAACCCAGAACGGTCTGATTCCCAAGCCCCTGCCCTCTCCACTCTGCCACACTGCCACAACGTTTCCTGGAGGAACGAATATTTTGCTGAATGAAAGAATACATAAATGCACGCACGCACGCATATATGTACAGGCCAGGGCGCAGCTTTGGATACAGTTACGAGCACAGTTTTGGAATCAGCAGCCCTGGATTCCGACTTTGGCTCTGCCAAGACAGGGGCCAGGGTGAGGCAAGTGAGGCATTTGCCTCGGCTCAAAGTTTAGGGGGATACCGAAAAACTCAGTCATCAAGATGCATTATTTTTAAAAGGCAAAATTAATGCAAAAAAATCCTTGACGAACAAGCTACGAACAAAATGTAAATAAAGACTAGATCAGACCCTGTATTTGCATGACTCGCCTCAGTCTAGTCCTGATCCCACTGGGACTCTAGGATCTCGGGGGAGTAGCTCTGCCTCTTTCTGCCTCAGTTTCTTAATCAGTACCGTGGAGATAATACTTCTCCCCTCTTGGAGTTGCTGTGAAAACTAATGAGAAGCAGCATAGGAAAGTGTTGAGCGGCGATGATGATGGTGATGATGGTGATGATGATGGTGCTGGTGGTGGTAAAAGAGGAGGAGGAGGAGGAGGAAGATGACCTTTGTGACATCAAAACTGAGTGTGGTACATGCAAATCCCCCGGCTCATATATGCCTGTACATGGCTATGTGTGATTCAAAGTCCTGAACTTTCCAGAAACACTTCCCTGGAAACCTGAAACCCCAGGTGGGGGAGGAGGGAAAGGGCTGGGCAAACCTTCAAACTGAGAAAATGTCCTTTTTTGGTAATGCGAGCTGGATGAGGCCTGTTTCCTGATGCCCCGGGGAGTTGCGCTGCAGGACTCCTCAGGCGGGAATGGCAGCCTTCACACAGAGCCCTGGAAGATTCCGGGGATCCACTGTGAACCCTTCAGGGCAGCCAGAACTGGGGTTGGGGGAGCGGGGCAGAGCCCAAGGCAGTGAGTGCTGCTGTGTTCGAAGGAAGCACCCCCCTCTGCCTTTGTCCATAGGTCTGGACGACTGAATCCCTTATCAGCCCTCCCCCCACCAATGCCTCTGATTCCAGGAATGGCTCCCTAGCTCCCCAGCCTTCAAGCCAGAATCCCAGTGCTCTCCCACCCCCACCCCCCCATCTTGCAACATCCACAGCCATCTGTCACCAACTCCTGTCTCTTCTACTCCCTCTAAGCTCTAGAATCGCCCATCTCACCGTCCTTTTGTGCTTTCTCCTGCAAAGCCCCCCACCCTCATCTGCCACCTCCCTGCCCCCAGGCTTGCTCCCTACAACTGGTCCTGCACGCAGCACCACCGTGAGCTTGCTTAACACAAACATCCAATAGCCTCACCTCTTGCTTAAAATCTTTGCAAGGCTTCCCACCGAGCTCAAAATAAAGTCCAAACTACTTAGCACGGCCTTCAAGGCTCTCCAGATCCTCGGCCCGAGGCAGTCTTGATGGGGTGTATCTGGCAGCTCACAGGGTGAAGGGCAGACCGAACTGCTGTTGCCCAAAGGCTATGGCTTCCAGTCTAGCGCCACTCACAGTGTGGTCCATGCACCCCCAGCCTCCTCATCACCTGGGAGCTTGCTAGACCTGTAGATTTTCGGGCGCCACCCCAGATCTACTGAATCAGAATTTCTGGGGGAGAAGCCAGGAATCTGTTTTATAAGCTCTCCAGATACTTCCACTGCTCTCTGAAGTTTGAGAAGCATGTGCTAGACAGACAGAGAGAAAATCCAGCTCTATTTTGGGCAGTTCCCGGCCTGCTCAACCCCCCTGAGCCTTGAGTGTTTCTCTTTAAGCATCAGGACCCTCCCCGAGTTCAGGTCCGGAAGGGGAAATGCAGGAACGACTTCTTCTCCTGTGACCACTCCCGGTGTCTGGCCTGATGCCTCTGGGGGAGGGTCTCCTAGGATGGCTCTGATCCTGCTGGGGGGAAGGGAAGGGGCAGTAACTGGGGCAGGGGGAGGGGCAGGGATCAGTCACTCTTCTTGATTTCATTTGGATTATCTTTCGTCAGCAGGGTTAAAAATAAGGCTGGAGGTTCAGGGACAGGGGCAAGGCGCTAACCCAACTGAAGCACTTCTGAGAGCATCCGCCCCACCCTAGACCCCTGACTGCCCGGTTATAATCTCCACCAGGCACTGATGGCTCCATTGGGCCAAAGAGCGACACTCGCTGGCCTCACCCCAGACTCCATGCCTTTGCTCAGACTCTTGCT